CTCTTTAGTGTTTTCACTCATTACTTTTAGAAATTCTGCAATTTCAGTTTACATTTCCTCTTTGACACAAGAGTTGTTTATTCAGTTTTGAATTTCTAGATAAAAGTTCCTTTGATTATGACTTTGTTATTAATGTCTAGATTTTATTGCATTATGGTCAGAGATTATTGTTTGTATTATTTCAGCTTTGTAGAATTTTATTAAGACATTTTTATAATCTAATATATAAACAATTTGGGTGAACGTTCCACGTGTACTTCAGAAGAATATATATTCTCTATTTCTGGAGTATAAAATTCAAAAAGGAGATGTAGGTAGGGGAAAGAACCAAAAGATTTGTCCAATTAATTATGCTATATTTAGTTCTTCTACATCTGTAATTTTGTCAACATAACCTATATTAGAGAGCAGTCTTAAATGTCTGTTATTAGTGTATCTCTATTTATCCTTGCAAGTCCTGTAGTTACTATTTTGTGAAGGTGGTTTATATTATTTGATATACAAATATTGTTGAATTATATCTCCATTATCAATTGTGACCTTTATTGTGACAAAGTACTGTTCATTGTCCTGGTTAATGCTTTTGAACTGAATTCTGAAGTTTAATAGCAGGACTCTAACCCCTGCTTTCTTATTTTTTCTATTTGTTAGGTATATCTTTACCCAGTCCTTTATTTTTATTTTTTTCTGAATCACTTTGTTTAAAGATGTCACTTCTTTACAGCATGGATTTGGTTCTTTTCTATGAGCTAAGTAAAAACTATTAACTAGCGAAGTAAATTCATTTCTATGGTTTTTTTAACTCTGTCATATTATCATATGTTGTATTTATTAGCCATGTCACGTTATATTGAATGTGTTTCTTTCTGTAGTCTGTTCTCTTTGGGATTTTTGTTTATTTGTTTGTTTGTATTTAGAGCTATTTACATTTATGTTCTAATGTTTTTATTTATACTGATAACTTTTATAAGGCTCATATTTATTTGTTAGCTTTAAATGATATTCTGTGGCTCCTACCTATTACCTCTGCAACAATCAATGAGATCATTGTTCATTCTCCTCTTTTATCCCTCTCCTCTTTTTTAATAGTATTATTTCAATAGCATCTAAACATATAATATTTTCATATTATTCTCACGTTTGTTCCCACCTTTGTTCTACACTTTGTTCTACACTAGATCTAAAATTAAATGTGTTTAATAATTACTATTAGTCCTTCCTTCCAGTCATCTCTTGAATTAGGTTGGTTTAATTTAGTGGGTACCTCAGGAAGTATTCTTAGATACATTATTCCCCTAGTTCTTGCATATTTTAAACTCTGGGATGTGTGTGTGTGTGTGTGTGTGTGTGTGTGTGTGTGTGTGTGTGTGTGTGTGTGTAAATGTTGATACTGAAAGATAGATCGACTGGTTATAACATCCTTGGATAAGTCTTTCTTTGAGATTCTTTATATTTCTGCTTCACTGTTGTCTCGCTGTGTATATCCTGAGATGTGATAACAATTTGATTGTAAAAAAACTTATCTTTTAGCCAGTTTTTTCTCTACCTTATAAGTCTAATGGCTAATTGGTATATATCTTAGAATTGACTATTTTGAGATAATATTCCAAGTGCATGGGAAGCCCTCTTAGTATATAGATATAGTTATTTTATTTCTGCATTTTTTTGGATTATAGTTTTAAGTATTCTATTATTTTCTTCATGTATTCCAACTATACATATACTGGATTATCTTTGCCCATCTTTTATATTAATGACTTCTTTCTGATTCTTTTTACCTGTCTTATTTCACTTTGTTCTGTTGGCTATTGCCATGTATTTTCTCAATGGTCTTTATTGTATTTCTAATTGAATCCATTCCATGGCCTGTACAAGACACTGCTTCGCTGAAATTGAAAAAAACCTAACTCCATATTTTGAACCCATGTTATTGAATCTGTCTTCTAGGATTTAAGATGCAATAACACTTGAACATGAATGTGGTATTTATCTAGTTTTTCTAGTGAGCAGAAAGATAGACAACAGGAAAAAATGGTAAAATTGCAAATATTAAAGCCACTTTCTTAAAAAATCTATCAAAAATCAACATAAAATGAAAGAATATAAATCCAAAACTTTTGCATTCTCATTTTGTTTAAAAGATTAACACTATCCAAATGAATTCAATCTTATGTGTATCTAATTGAATATTAACAAAGTGTAAGTAGAAGTCATCTAATTGATAGAATTGGTAAAATATTTTTTTCAAGGTTTTCATTTTGAAATTATTTTAGATTTCAAGAAAGTTGCAAAAATAGTACAAAGTGTTTTCACATACATTTCACCTAGCTTCCCCTAATATTAACATCTTTTATCAATATAATTATTGAAACCAGGAAATTAATATTCATGTAGACTATTAACTAATCTACAAACCTTATTTGAATTTTGTCAATTGTCTCACTAATGTTTCATTTCTGGTCCAAGATCCAAACCAGAATTCTACAGTGCATTTAGTCTTCCTGTTTCCATAGTCTCCTCCATTCTGTGGCAGTACCTCAGTCTTTCTAGTTCATGACTTTGACACTTTTGAAGAGTACTGGCCAGTTATTTTATAGAATGTCCCTCCATTTGAGCTTGCCAGATGTGGCTCAGTATTTACCTAAGGGGTACAACCCCCAGCCATCCATAATTATTCTATGGGTTTGTTCTTAGTCTTAGGGAAGCAATTACATTGATCTGCCAGGCCAAGTTACTTGGATCTATTTTGAAGAAAATGAAGTGGATTCATGAATAATTTTTTTTGGGGGGGGGGGGGCGGGATACAGAGATCAAAGTAGTAATAGCAATGCTTGAGATAAAAAGTAACATAGAGTCATTTAGGTAGCCATTTCAGGACATATGCAAGATGAACAAGCAAAGGTAGCCAGTCCACAGAAGAAGAGAAAGAAGGAGATGTATACAGTGAAATGGAATTGAGAGAAAGAAACATGCAGAGCCACAGAGATAAAGGACATAGTTTAAAAGACAAAATAAGACAGACCAAAAGGGATCCTTCTAAGATATTCTGAGGTAGTATATCCTAAGTTCTTTACAGTTTTCCAGTATTTGGGTTCCATTTTCATAAGAAATATTATCCCTGTATTCTACAAGTTTCCCATTTGCAACCTGTGAGTTAGCATAAAGGAGTCTCAATTTTCTGCAATGAAAATGGACCTAACAAACAAACAAATAAATAAAATTTGGAAAGAGCAAGTAAGTAAAAATATAGTATGGTGGTTGTGGCAAATCCAGGCAGAATTGGATGCCTATTTAATCTTTTGTTTCTATTGCAGTTTTACAAAGCTTATATGACTGACTACAAATTAATCTAGACATTCATACAGATTTTTACAGAGGGGATCACTGTAGGAATACCTAATCGCTGAATTTGCTCCACAGTTCCATGGCCTGAAGAAAATCTCAATTAAAACAGTTCTTAATGCAACATTAACCTTGTTGATCTCAAGTGTTTGTTTTTCCCTGTTGCATAGTATATGTTATTCTTTTATCAGTGTGACCTTAATCATCAGTAAATTTGTCAGGTATTGTTGAATAAAGTATTCTAAATAACCCAGGACCCAAGAGCTCCAAGCTACATACTTGTCTGATTAAGCAAATAATATAATATTTGAAATTCTTTTTGTTAGCTTTACTTTAAAAGGAAGTAATTGGTTTTTAAAAACTAATTCAAGTCCAAATAGCTCACTTTTCACAGTGAATGATGATTTTTCACTTTCTTAACTTTTCATCATCTAAATGTATACTCTAGTTTATAATCTTAAGAAGTTTATTTCATGACTTGTCTTTTTAATGAATTAAGAAAAACTTGTGGTTTTTCTAGCCTAGCATTCTAGCCTAGACCTTTGTTGGCTACTCAAGAAAAGTGTCATTAAGGGGAATACACACAAACACCCATGCACATACATGCTCATGCATATACACACATATACAAACACACATACACATTCATATATATATGCATATACATATATATGAATACACATACATATATAATGAATAAACACACATATCTTTTTAAATATTAGTGTAGATTTTTATACCCATTCTGCCATATTTACAAATGAAGTGATATATTATCTGTTACTGGTTTCTTGTAACATTCACTCATCAATCCCTTGAAAATATTTAAAATGAAATGAATGGCAGCTCTTTATAACAGAAGGTTAGAGCTATAATGTATCTCTTTATCTCAAAGTGTGAGTTAAGGGCCACTAATAGCGTATCTTAAAGTACAAGCGTTTATAACATATAATTTTATTTTGGCATGAATTAATAGTTTATTTTGGAAATATGAAATCAGAAGGTAAACAAACACAAAATATTAATATCTTATGGAAGAAAATCAGATTCCCCCTAAATTCTGATGAATACTTTTTAATAGCAAGGAGAAAGGAAAATAAGTAAATATTCCAAGAACGTTTGGTGCTGTAAATCTGCAAAGAAAAAGAATCAATGAAGTTTGTATTTCTGGGCTACATTGCTTAGAATTAGTTATTTACTCAAAAAAGAACTAAAGATAAGAAGCAAATGAAAGAATAGTTTACATTATAAAAGATAATTTTAAAAATTTGGCAATGAAAGAGTTCCAGTCAAAATGATGGAGTAGGTAAATGCTGTGCTTGCTTCCTCCCATGAACCACATTAAAATTACAACTAAATTATAGAACATTCAACCTGAAGAACCATCTGAAGACTAGCTAAAGAGAACTCCTATAACTAAGGATATAAAAAAGAGGCCACATGGAGACTAGTAAAAGGGATAGAGATGATAAATGGGCTGGCCCCACACCCATGTATGGCAATTGATCACTGGAAAAGATATCTCAGCTGCAGAGGTCTCCCCTCCATCCCGAAGAGAAGCAAAGGGAGCCAGCCTCACACTGAGTTTCCCAGCCCAGGCTTACAGTGCCAGAAAGAGGAGTGCCCACAAAATGTGGCTATAGAAATCAGTGGGGATTATGGCCATCTGGGTGAAACAGAAGACAGCTGGAAACTCAGATATCCCCTTAAAGGGCCAGTGCACAGACTTACACACAGGTACTCACCCTGGACTCTGGTGGAGGGACAAAAGCTCAGAAGGTCCCAAAGACATACAAGGAAAGACTAAGTTGTATGGCTTCAGGGTGAGGCCTACAGAGACAGCCACCATTATTTCTTTGTTGAGCCCTCCTCTTGTGCAGCCTACAGGCAGTCACCATCTTGCCTGTGTTGAGCCCTCCCCCTACACAGCCAAATCTGAATCTGCATTGGCCTGGTTATATTTGCTCACTCCACCCTGGTAACTCCCTGAGACCCCGCTCCACCCAACTTGCTCACGCTGGAGGCATCAAATGAAAGAACAGAAGAAAACTTCAGAAAAATAACTAAGTGAAATGGAGGCAGATAGAGAGTTTGAAACACTGGTTATAAGAATGTTCAACGAACTGAGGGAAAGAATAGATGATCTCAGTGAGAACTTCAACAAAATGATAGTACACATAAAAAAGGGCATAGAAACCATAAAAAGAACCAATCAGAAATGAAGTAATAAATGAGGTAAAGAATACAAGAGAAGGTATCGATACTAGATTAGATGAAACAGAGGATCAACTCAGCAATTTGGAGCACAAGGTAGCATAAAACACCCAACTGGAACAGCAACAGGAAAAAAAAAATCAAAAAAAGTGAGGATAGTTTAAGGGACATCTGGGACAACATCAAGCGTACCAAAATTCACATCACAGGAATACCTGAAGGCAAAGAGAGAGAGCAAGGGATTGAGAACCTATTTGAAGAAATAATGACTGAAAACTTTCTTCATCGGGTAAAGGAAATAGACATACAAGTCCAGGAAGCTCAGAGAGTCCTAAACAAGATGAACCAAAACTGGCATACACCAAAACACATCATAATTAAAACGACAAAAATTGAAGACAAAGAGAAAATCCCAAAAGTATCAAGAGAAAAGCAATTAGTTACCTACAAGGGAGTTCCCATAAGACTTTCAGGTGATATCACAACAGAAACTTTGCAGGCCAGAAGGGATTGGCAAGAAATATTCAGTGATGGAAAGCAAAGACCTACAACCAAGATAACTTTACCCAGTTAGGCCATCATTTAGAATCAAAGGACAGGTAAAGAGTTTCCCAGACAAGAAAAAGCTAAAGGAGTTCATCAACGCCAAACCAGTATTATAAGAGATGTTAAAGAGATTTCTTTAAGAAAAAGAAAGAAAAGATAAAAAGTATGAATAATAAAATGGCAATAACTACATATTTATCAAGAATTACTTTAAATGTAAATGAATTAAATGTTCTAATCAAAAGATAGGGTAGCTGAATGGATAAGAAAACAAGACCTTTACATACACTGCCTACAAGAGACCCATTTGACATCAAAAGATACACAGACTGAAAGTAAAGGGATGGAAAAAAATATTTCGTGAAAGTGGAAATGAGGGGAAAAAAGCTGAGGTAGCAATACATATACAAGACAAAATAGACTTTAAAACTAAGCCTATAACAAGAGACAAAGAAGAACCCAGTAATTCTACTTCTGGGTATTTATCTGAAGAAACCCAAAACACTACTTTGAAAAGATATATGCACCTCTATGTTCATTGCAGCATTATTTACAATAGCCAAGATATGGAAGCAACCTAGTGTCCATCAATAGACAAATAGATAAAGAAGGAGTGGTACTTATATAGAGTGGAATATTACTAGACCATAAAAAAGAATGAAATCTTACCATTGGTGACAGTATGAATGGACCTAGATGGTATTACACTAAGTGAAATAAGTCAGACAGAGACACAAATACCATGTGATTTTACTTACATGTAGACTTTAAAAATAAATAAATAAACAAACAAAACAGAAACAAAGTCAGAGATACAGAGAACAATTTTATGTAACCAGATGGGGGTGCGGTTGGAGGGACAAGTGAAGTGGGGAAAGGGATTAAGAAGTAAAAATTGGTAGTTACAACATAGTCAAGGGGATGTAGAGTATAGCATAGGGAATATGGTCAACAATATTATAATAACTGTGTATGGTGTCAGGCGAGTACTAGATTTATCAAGATGATCACTTCATAAGTTATATAAGTGACAAATCACTTATATACCTGAAATTAAAATAATATTGCTTGTCAACTAATTGAAAAAAATTATTTTAAAAATTTGACAATGAAATGCTTTCATGTAACAAGGCCATTAAGACAGTATCCATAAAATTACCCATGTTAGGTTTTTATTCCATGTTATCAAATATGATTATAATAAACATATTATAAATATGAATCCATGTAGTCAGCCATATTAATAATAAATATTTATAATATTGATTGCAGTCCTGCGTATATTCTTTTACTTTAGTAAAAGACACCTTACTGCTTGTGAAAGGCTCCCAATAGATGTTTGTCAAATGGATTCTTCTTTTTACTAGCCAAATTCTCCATTAGCTTGAAGGATTTGGAGAAAATCATCTGGATAATTATTCTCCTTAGTCTAAATTAAGTGTTGTTTATTCTGTGTGAAACACATTGTCTAAATTGATATCTAAATTGTTTAAAATTGCTGGAACAAGAGAGATTTTAAATCCTGAGTTGCTGTTAGGATAAAATGTGTTAGTACATGTAATCCATTAGAACCTGAATCATAATAAATACCCAGTAAAAGCTTGTCCTCATTATCATTTTGGAAGAAAATTTTCTTAAAGGTAAATTGTCAATTCTCTATAAACTGGTGTTATAAATTTATTAAGATACAACTAATCTAAGAATTATTAAACAAAGTCATAACCTATACTTTACATTAAAAAACAAAACACTAAAAAGAAAAATTTCAGTGTTTAAGCTAAGCTCCAATGATAGAAGCCATAAAGGAAAACAGTGAGAAATTTACCAAATAAAAATTAAAACTTCTATGTATTAAAAAATGTTCAACAAAGTTTAAATCTAAACAACTCTTAATGTATATGCAACATATGTGATAAAGAATTAATATCTTTAATTAGTAATGGACTCTTATGAATTAATAAAAAATTTTAAGAAATGCACACAAGAAAAAAATAGTTGTCCAAAGATGGACAAATGAAAAATGTTCAAACTAAAAAAAATTCCAAGAAAAGTAAATTAAAACAGTTATGAGCTGCCATTTTAAAATCAATTAGGTTGATTTTCAAAATAATGATATACAGTACTTTGTCTGCATATTCAAAATTCAAAAGCTCTAAAATTGCCTTTTCTAACTCATTTGGCAGCAAAACATACCCTGGTCTGGACATACTGGCAGCAAACCAGTGCTAACTGATGTGAAGTAGTCCTTATTTATGCCTCTTAGTGTGAATCCTATAATTTTGGCTGCATAAATTCTCATGTGTTTGATTATAAAGTGCCTCTCAGACTCTGCTTGGAGTGTTATGGATAGAAAGCATTTATATCATGTTAACTTTCTAAAATCAAAAAAATTCAACCTGAAGGAAACTGGACTTTGGGTAGTAAACACACAATAGAATATATAGATGTTAAATTATAATGTACACCTGAAAATTATATAATTGTATTAACCAATGTTACCCCAATAAACAATTAAAAAAATAAAATAAATAAAAATAAAATCAAAAAAATTCAGAATTCTAAAGCCTATCTTCCCCTAAAAGTTTTGGTTGGGGAATTGTGGAGCTGTGGTAATCTGGCTATATATCAAAGCCACAAAAGAGTGTATGCCATTTTAATACAAAATTCCAACTCTAGGAATTTATCATTACTAAATATTCACCAAAATGTTAACAGTGGCTATCTCTTAATGGCAAGATTGTAAGTAATTTTAATTATTTCTATAACTGTTCTTCATTTACAGTGAACATGTATTACTACTATAATAATAAACTTTTAAATTTCATTTAAATGTGTTATTTAAACATGTCGAAATGTCCCAGATTTCAAATTCTGTATACATACAGTGAATATCTGTCCAGAAAAAAATCATATTCTTTATATTTATAGGAGTTAATAATTATAAAGGTTCAATGTGTCATGAAGCAAAGTGTGGTTTTCAAACAGCCTGTTTTGCCAATAGTAGCATTTATAATGTCGATATTTTAAAAGTGTGCATATTAAAACTTACCATGGAGAACTGGAAGTATGAACCATATTGGTAAGGAAAGTGTGTCTAGAATTTTAGACTTTATAGTAAATATGCCCAAAAGTATATTGGCAGCATTCAAAATCTGACCCATGTGGAGAGAACAGCAAGCTAACCATCTCGAATAGTGGGATGTCAGTTGAGAATTTATAATGTCTTTGTTGTAGTTATAAGAAAAAATTCGCTGTCCTCAGAAATATATTTTGAAAATATGATCTTTATCCTGAAATGCCCCTTTTAACAATACAAATAAATAAGAAAGCTGTATGCTTTTTCAGGCAAGTGGTTTGCCTCTTTGAGTGGTGATAACATGATGACATGCCGTCCTACCGCTTGGAGTGGCTATAAACAGTTAGACCCAGCAGTCTATCTGCAGAAAAGAGGGCTCTGTGTTTTAACTGCCAATTTTCAAGTCAGTGCTTCTAATAGTTCCTATAAAATGTGTTTGAAATTTGATGCTGAGTCTGAATGCTTGATTTCACTTTGGTAGACTATTTCTGCAGTCCATGAACAATTAAATTATATTACTTTTTATTAGAAGTTGTGATATCTGTTACTTATTTACTGAAAGAAATAACTTTTTATTTTTCAGAGCTTCCATATGGCTGGGAAAAAATCGATGATCCTATATATGGCACTTATTATGTTGAGTAAGTCTCTAAGTGTGATATTAACTTGTTATTAATACGATGTGAAATTGTGTTAGTATTTCCTTCATTGAGCATGTGTGGCTAACACTTCCTTTGCTTCCCTTTCATCTTACTTTGAAGTGTCCACAAAGACTCTAGCAGCACTAGTTAGCTGTTTCTTGCCTCTTCCAGCTGGCTAATTTGTCATTCCTTTCCTTTTACTCAAAATTCTAAAACACCAATTGGAAAAGTATGTTTCACATTGTCCTCTAAATGAGTGATAATTAAACATATCAAAGTAAATGCCCTTCATTTTGCAATCAAAATGTTGGAAGCTGACTCGGGGTGCAAAAGAGATGTTCTGTTAAACCAGATTTTGAAGTCAATTCAATGAAGCAGCCATATTTTCCAGCTGAAGGATGAAATAAAATTTAGATATTTTTTCTTTTTTAAGATCCCATTTCAAATCAATAGTATTCTTTCTCTAGGTTGAATTTTATGTTTTCTACTGAATGTTGCATTGCCTTAATGTATCTTAGCATAATATGAGTTATCCTATGTACACTTTTATTCAAAATAAAGCCCCTATTAAAGACTAAATTACATACACATCTTCTCCTTAGGAAAATCAAATAATTCTTTTCAAAAGTTCAATATGTGAGTTATTGTTCCAGATTTCCTTTTCTGATAGACAATTTTTTATTATCTATTGTGTAGTGAATTTTATGTTATTTGGGTGACTAACAAAGCCTACATTTTCCTTATGGGATGTCATTTTCATTTAGAAAAGCCCCAGTTTTGGCACCATGGTAAGTCATTTCCAGTCAAAGTGCCTTTGCCAAATGCAATCTTCTGACATGGTATCTAATGCTTTAATGTCTTGTGGACACTCAGTAGATACAAAAAGTAAGATAGATACATGGAGGTACCTCTAATTGCAAAAATAAAGGAAAATCATTTCTAAACAGTTACAAGGCTCTCGAGTCCTACTATATTGCTAATCAATTAAAATTCACAAATGTTTTAATGGTAATGTAGCTGTAGATTCTGGATAAATTTATCAACATTAAATGTTTCCAATAAATACTAGCTTGTCTTAATGCACTGAATCAGACTATCCTGTGCCAAAGTTTATTATGTCTGAAACCCAAGATAATTTCATGAGAGGAAAGAGAACTGAGATATCTGGCATGCCAAATCTTGTCTTTCATACACTTCCTAGCAGAATTCAAAAAATAAGAACCTTTTCCTTAGTCTAGATATTGGCAAACTCCATAAAAAAGCCAGATAGAAAGTATTTTGGCTGGGGATGGGGGAGCATATGACCTCTGTCACAACTATTCAGCTCAGGCATTGTAGCTTAAAAATAATCATAGGTGACATTTAAGTGAATGGACACAGCTATGTCCCAATAAAGCTTTATTTACAAAAAACAGTCAGCTGGCCAAATTTGACCTGCAGAACATAGTTTGCTTTCCCCACCCTGTTCTAATTCTTCACATTGTTCTTCCATGTTCTCAACTTCTGTCAAGCTGACATTCAATGTGGGAAACAATATTGAACTCAAACCTTTCTTCTCTGCTCTATCAGAAAGGTGAGACACCACGTGTCAGAAAGCAATGCTTCCTACTTTCTTGATCATTGAGATGTATATTCAAGTAAAGATAAGCCGCTGGTTTGTAATTAATCATTGAATTGGACATTGACTATAACTCTAAAAGAAAATTGACTTCGTCATCATTATTCTTCAAATGGTTGTCCTTTTATTTGTTTCTGCTTAAATTATACTTCTACATTTCTCCACTTCATTTTTCTTGTATCACCACCATAATAAAAAAATTATTTATACTTTAGTCACTCACATCCTATATTAGATCAGACTGATATATTTAATAGTTTTAAATTTCAAATGATGGTTGAGGTTATAGATACAGGTAAGTCAAATAGTTTAACTTTCTTCAGCTTTACCTGTCGTGGCTTTACCTCATTACATGATACTATATGATACCTAAGGTATACCCATACCAGTAATTAGGTGTATGGGTATATCAGGTCAAGCAGAAAATTGAGATAGATAATTGAAGCCAAAAGATAACTTTAAATAGAAGTAAATCTCAATATTTTTTAAAAACATCTTTTGGAAAAAAATTTATCAAAATAATTAAAATACCTCAATTTATTTTATATAATTCAAACATTACTTGAAACAAGGGATATTTTCCATCACAAAAAAAGACAACTTGTCTGTTTTAATTAGAATATGCCTATTTACATTGTTTTAATTGCTCAAAAAATGTAAATCTCATCTCCATGACACTATTATATCACAAGGTATATGTAATAGTTTTGTTTTTGGAATCTATATGAATACACATGTGAACATAGTAATTATTTATCACTCTCAGTCCATAGAGTATCTTTGTTGGAAAAAAGCAACCTAATTTCTTATAGTTAATAATACAGAAAAACAGTAACTGTCTAGTTTAAGTTGCTGTATCAACTTTTCAGTGTAACATCATAGATATGAAATATAATATGCCTAGATTAAGATAGTTATAATTATAGTGACAATATTAATGCCAATATCTAAAAGAATCACATTTTAATTTTCAATTTTAATATTTAGTTAATGTAACAAACCAAAATGGTCTTTATTATAACTAATCAAGAAAAATGTTGATTCACTAATTTTATTAATGATGCTAGACAATGGGTTCTCTGTAGCTCTATCCTTTTTGATGTATAATTATACACTCATTTATGCAATTGGAGGTGCTGACTACAAAATACAAAAACCGTTCCACCTCCCCACCCAGTTACAAAAAAGCCTATGCAGGGACAATACAAGTCCAGCTTAGCAGTCAATCATTCTCTTCAAATAGACCAACAACTGGGAGCAGAAGTTACAGAGCCGGCTCTCTGTCATCTGCAGGGCATGTCAGGTTAAAATCAGTCTTGTGCCTCTGGCACAGTTGCACAAACACTCATTTTCCTGTCAGCCACAGACAAGCAGACAGGAATTCCAGCAGTCAATAGCAGGAAAGTGTTTATACAACTTGAAACCGAAAAACCTAGATTGAATAGCTTTTGACCACTATTACTGACTTTACCCTTCTGTGCCATAATTCTGTCCTGTGCAAAGTCGGTTTTAAAATTACAGGTTCGATATATTTGAAAGTCAGAAAAATCGTCATCATTATTATCATATCATCAAAATAGTTAACACTTATTGAATAGTTAGTATGTGCCATGAACTCGGCTAGTCTTCAACAGTCTTTACCACATTTATAGTCCTCTTTATAGTAATAGTGAGATACATTGTCTTAAGTTTACAGATGAAGAAACCAGCTGAAGAAGTTAAGGAACTTAACCAGTATCACATAATATAGATAGGAATGGTTATAATTTGCCCCCAGGCGGTCTGACTGCATAGCTCACAGTCCTAACTCTGCTTAAAATGCCTCCCATACATTTAGTATTTTTGATCCATAATGGTCCAAAAGAGTCTCAGACTCATTACTAGAGAAGAATGAGGGGTTACTGGAGAGTCTCCTCTAGTACAGTGTCACAGCAGGATGTCCGACAATGGTTAGTCGTGCTGTTCACAGCCCTGTGAGAGTGACTTCTGACCCAAGCATTCTGAGCCAGCTCCTCTGCTCACTACTTCAGAGGGCCCTGGACAGCATGGCCGCCAGCAGCAAGACTCACAGGACTTGAAATAAGAGAGGTCAGTTTTCTGTGGACCTTAACATAAGGATATTGGCTCTAGTTTGGAGCAGTAGAGGCAGTCACACAGCTCTGTATTTTAGAGAACAGTGAGGGACGATTTAGAGGCATAAGACTGATTCAATCTGACATGCCCTGAGGATGACAGAGAGCCCGCTCTGGAACTTCTGCTCCCAGTTGTTGGTCTACCCAACATCTTCCCAACTTCATCTGTAGACAGGGCAGACGGACCAAATTTCTAGTCTACATAAGAAGTTAGCCCAATTTTCCCTGACAGACACCAAATCCATGATAGTACAGCACTTAACAATGTGTTAAGGAGTCCTGAGTTGCTAACCAGAAATGTAACTGTCACTGCTCATAAAGAAAGGGAAAAATTTTTAATGAAAAAAGTACAAAATGTAGAGTTGAACAGCTGTGACTTTTATACAAATGTGAGGTTTTTTTTCCTCCTCTTTTGTGAAATTATGTCTGCTGGGTACATTTTGGTTTCAATGGCAGCTACACAATTTGCTTAACTAGCTAGTTCAGAAGACACAATTTCCTGGAGGTCTACCCAACATCTTCCCAACTTCATCTGTAGACAGGGCAGACGGACCAAATTTCTAGTCTACATAGCAACAGAGAGAAGTTAGCCCAATTTTCCCTGACAGACACCAAATCCATGATAGTACAGCACTTAACAACGTGTTAAGGAGTCCTGAGTTGCTAACCAGAAATGTAACTGTCACTGCTCATAAAGAAAGGGAAAAATTTTTAATGAAAAAAGTACAAAATGTAGAGTTGAACAGCTGTGACTTTTATACAAATGTGAGGTTTTTTTTCCTCCTCTTTTGTGAAATTATGTCTGCTGGGTACATTTTGGTTTCAATGGCAGCTACACAATTTGCTTAACTAGCTAGTTCAGAAGACACAATTTCCTGGAACAGCTTTCATGCAAAGCTGCCTCCTCTGGCACAGACGGAGAAGCAAACTGTATAACTACAGTTAAAATGATAGTGGAGACTGGCAGATGTGATTTTCATGTGGAAGTTTTACAGGTTTTTCATATGATGTCACACATCTGCTACTATAAAACATTATTTGTGTGCCATTCCAGAAAGTATGAAAAATATTGCAACATATCTTTAATGTAACATTAAATGTAAAAGAGAAATCACATTCATTTCATAGTTAATGGTATTTGTCATGATGTAGCAAGTTGGAAAGTGGTTACACAGGATTTTCATTCAATGTCATACCTTAAGCTTGTTTCTCTCCTTCATGCTGTTGAGTAGTTTTCTAAATTTTCCAAG